GTGCATGCATTCCCAGTGAGTGATAATGTTCCCACTGAGACTTGAACCCAGTACCCGTTATTTCAAATGCCAAAGCGTTGTCTACTGGACCATTTGGCTAACGAAAACCACCTCTTGTGCAACAAGAAGATCTACAATTGACTTAAAAGCGAATTATAAATGATGCCCATCACACAAGAAGTGACTCTTATTGCCTATATGATTGAGTGGATATGGCCTTGTGGTTTGGAATGATGAGTACTGGATTCAAGTCTCGGTGGGAATACCATCAATCACTCGGGAATGCAGATACATTGAACTGATGAGTCTCAAAAGGACGAAACTTACACTGTGGATTCGACTACCAGTCATCATCCACCAAACTGCTTCAAGTTAATTCTCAGACATCTTTGATGCGTATACATTAGCAGCAGACATGTTAATAGAAACAAACACAGCTGTGATTTAATTTTAGCTTTGCTTTTTGATATGGTGTTATTGGTATTTCTTAATTAAATGACTTTTCCCGAGGGATTTATTCTCACAATCCTATAGAAATTATACAGATCACATATTCAAGAATAGATTCGATTAGTAGTGTTATTCTTTACCCTCATATCAATGCTGTATGAGTTATGAAATACATAAATTAATGTGAAACAATCTTCTTTGTTGTTTTACAAACAGGCCAGAAATATATTTATGAAGCAGTGATATTCTTAAGCTTTCTTTCTCTTTAGAAATGCTACTGATGAAATTTCACAGAATAAGAGGTTAACACACAAACTTTCTCAGGTAGATTTCACGTCAAACCGAAATCAGTCAGAAAGTCAGGGAGCGCCTGTTACATAATTAGTTGTAGTTAGGACCTCTCCTACCAGGTCTACAGTCAACACGGGATCAAAGAGAGGCTAGTTAAGTTGCAAGATGACTCCATTACCATTCATTCATGGGTTTGGAATCAAAAAGTTGCCCAAATTCTAACTTCTATCCATGCGAATACTCCTTATTTCGCCCATTCGGAAGGCAATGCGTGTTGACTACTCCATACTTCTTGGCGGTTATCCAGATGATACCGATTTGCGACGAAATCTACTTAAAAAATTCAACTGGATTTCCTTAATCGAAAAACATGAATAACGCATTTAGTATCTTATTATTCAAACCATGCGTTTTCCATGAATTCTACAAGATGTTATTGCTCAATAAAATCCTCTTTCAAAAAATGATAACGAGATTGCCATGGAATCTAATGTTCTAGGACTCCAGAAGGTAAGAGAATATGAGTGAGAAGATTACTACATTCAAAAGATTATGATTATAACAGCTAAAAAGAAGATATGATGAGTCTTCCATCCTTTCACGGGATAATTAACTAGTTTAGAGTCACGTATAGTCTAACACGATAGAATCACTCCTTATGATAAAACTTTATTTGTTGCTTTTGCTGTTTTGAAAACAATTTCTATATCTGCAAGTCTTAATTTGTAAGGATTTGATTAGATTCAGTTTTGTTCACGAACTGATATTAGTTAGAAGACTACTGAAAACTAGGGAGTAGTGGACCGCTATTTTGTCCTGACTCGGGCTTCTTCAATAGTACGCACTTATAACCCCACTGTGGATCGATCCCAGGACCATTAGGTTGTGAGGCAAGTTTGCTGACCACTTAGCCGCTGGAAAGGAACTAATGGCTCATGAACTTTAACTTCTATGAATTCGTGATATTTAGCGCAACCACTAGCCAATGTTATCAGCCGGTATCTGTCCTGACACCCGACCTGGTAGACCCAACTAGTCAGGACTTCTCATCAGATCTCTGGGGAACTTCATCCTGTAATCATTTACTGTTGAGCACCAAATTAATTTCTAAGTGTTAGTTTATAAGGATTTGATTGGTTTCATGTTTAGTCAAGTTTATATAACTTTCATTCACTTGGTATATGACCCATCGACATTTGGGTAGTGTGATAGAATTCAACTCCATTTGAAATGCCATCATGAAATCATGTAAATATTTATACAGTTTGCTCTGTTTTAGGCTCCAACTTTTGGCTGAGTCAAACATTTAGCGCAAATACTTTCATGTAGAAGATCTACGGTTCTTACCAGAACTTCAGCTTAACTGAATATTCATGGCAAATCACAATGGATAACATTAAATTAATATATGCATTAACAAATAAAACAAAATGCTTGGTAAGCTACTGAATAAATAATAAATGAGAGGATTTAAGAGGAGCTGATTGTTAAACCATTCGACTCTAAATGACAGAAGTTATTTGAACTGAAGTAAGTAAGTTATCCTCGTCAGCAGATTCATCATTTTTAGTTCAGTTATCTGTGATCATTTATGAATTTAAAAAATCATGATTAAGATAAATTTCTTAGTGGGTGCATTTACTTGAAAGACAATGTAAGCTGCCATAAAATTATATACATAAATGAAATCGATTTGAGTAAAAAGTATTGGTTTCACACTGTCAACTGCAACTTAGGAAATATAGATTACGGTTCAGTTAAGGGGTTTTTGAGTAACTGATTAACTTCAAAGTGGTTTCTGTCAACAAGTGATATTGTTTAGGGTGTAAGTTTGTAGAAAGAAAAGCATGGAGATCATTCTAAGGATATCACATCAATTTTTTTTATGTTTACAGCACTAATACCGTTTCCAAGTACCTGAAGTTTAATTCGACAAATCTTTACGGACTCGATAAATTATTGTTTTAAAATAAAATTATTTCCTAGTTTATCTGTTATTTACAAATTGCCTCTACTCTTGGTGTAGAATATCTGTTCAGTGAGAATCACACTAATGTATCATATCATAAAGTGTGCCTTGAGTATGTGTTGGTTCAACTGCTTATTTTCATTCTGAATGCTGTTAATCACTGTAGCAGTAATAAAAAATGATCAAGTATTGGTTTTTGAAGGGATTTCGTTTGAGTGGTTGGAGCATTTCATCATAAACTGACATCGGTAAGAGAACCACTGGAAAACCACCATTGGAGTACTGGACAGTTGTTTCGTCCTAGTTTGGGACTCTTCATCAGTACACGGCCACCGAGGTTCGAACAAAGGACCATTAGACTAATGAGACCCAATTCTTTAACCCTAAGTGGTCGCGCTATGCCATGAATCGGCAGAAGTTGGAATTCATGATCTGGCCATTGGCTTAGTGGTCTACGAGCTCGCTAGCCTTATAACCAGAAGGTTCTGGGCTTGACTCCTGGTGGTGGGTGTGTACTGATGAGGAGTCCCAAACTAGGACCAAACAGCTGTCCAGTACTCCCTGCAGGTTTTCCAATGGTTCTCTATCCGATGTCAGTTCATGATGAAATCAGCATTATCTGGGAGAGGTTTCCATTTTACCGAAGTTTGAGGAACAACAATTTCTTTTCGCATCTTAATTACTTTGATGTCAAACTTAATCCCACTCATCGGTGCACTAAATATGATGTGTAATTGATAACTGTGAAAATTATTTCTTTAAGTTATGATAATTGCATACGGTATTAGTTAATTTTTTTTTAAACATTAATAATAGGATTAAAGCGCTATGATTGTGGGGAATAGATTGACTGCAAGAAAGACTACGTCAGGAAATGACAGTACAGTGTTGAAAAAAACTAATTTACTACTTGTGACTAGCCGACTACAAGACAGGGTAGTACTAATGAGAAGTCGTATCTGATTAGATTTGTGATATTTGGTCGGATAAGAGTTACTGATAATATACAATGATTATGGCACTATATCGAGAATTGGGATAAGAGTAGATTTCCACTCAGCTGCTGAATGGCTATTTTCACTTCTTGTAATCTCAAAGTTGTAAGTTAAACCTACTCATAGCAGCAGGACTGAAGTCTGCAGGAGATACTTGAAGTAGGACGAAATAGCTGTTTAGTCCTATCCACTTCCAGTGGATTTCTAGGGATTTTGGTTCATAATAATGATTCTATCTGCTCTCATTGGCGGTTTATGCTCACAACAACCTGCTGAGTAGGAAGTTAAGCTACACAAATATTAAGTGAGTAATATGAAATATTAGTTATATCATATGTAACCGGAGATTTTGTAGATTACAGTTTACGATCACAATTGGTGTTAAATACAAAAACATCACAAAAACAGCTTTCTTTCACTTACTATGGAGCATAAATCTTCAATGATGAAGAATAATGGTTAATGTTACCCAAAGCTTCATTATCCTATTAAGTCTACTATTCTACCTGAAGCTCTGTTAGTTTGGTCTATTTTAAGGTTTATATATTTTAAAACTGACACTTGTAAGGCAAAAGGGTTTGAAACATTTTCAACAGTGCGTCTGAATTTTACTTAAATTAACTGACCATATCTATAACAATATACTAGATGGTAGTATGCCTCATTGCTTTAAGTTCCTAGCCATCAGATAGTGTTTTCCGGGTTCCAACCTATTTTCATCTCACTAGCTGGGTAGTGTTGTAAATTCTCGGTGACAATCAAGCGGAATTAACAGGCAAGTTCAAAAACCCATACACCTCTACTGATTTACAAAATAAACATGGCATTAAAGCTTGGAAAACGAATTTAAATAATTCGGCACGATTATAGACAATAAACTCCTTTAGAGACAAAATTATGAATAATATTACACTACTATACGCATATGCAACAAAGTTTTTCTATTAACATCATATTCACGTCATTCTAAACCTATCTCCACTGTGTCAATGTCAGCCACACACAGGCTTCTGGTTCGATTCCCAGCTGATGTACGCCTAAGTTGTGCCTAACTAGTAATAGTCTTTGAAAAGAGGGAAAGTCGGGTGTAAGGCTAACAACCATGGTGTTTGTGTGTGTATGCGAGTTAAAACAACACCATCTCTTCTGAAACTTCAAAGCTTGAAGGTCTTTGTTCGACTCGGAATGCAAATTACCGGGGAAAAAATCCTGTCTCCTCTATTTATGAACACGTAGAATAAACTAACCAGATAAAAAAAAGTTATGCAATCAACAGTGAAACATGTTCAACTGACCCGATATGATTTCTCTTCATCAGGATAAATTACATTTTCTATAATCAAAGATTTCATACTATTTGGTGTATTTTTTTGTCGGATTACATCATTCTCTTCATGTAGTTGAACTCGATCACCATCACCATGATTATTAATCCATCCTGTAGTCGCAGTAGCAGTAGTCGTTGTAGTAGTATATAAATTTTCCTCAGTATTACACTGTTGTTCAATTCTAATATCTTCTTTTCTAGAATTGTTCAGATGATCCCGATGATGATAACCTTCATGGTATTGATTATATTCAAAATCATGCGGTTGATTTAATGATTTAATAATCAGTGAGTTTTCTTCATATTCTCCGTTCCTCTCTTGAGTTTCATTCTGTTTGCATTCATTTCTTTTAATCAAACACCCTTTTTTCATAGGATTTGTACAAGTGTGATTATTATTATTACTGATACTGCTGTCACCCGCTGAAATGTAATAATGTTTAAAATGTTTTTTAAAATTTACTAATGGCGGTTTATCATTTAGAGGATTATTCATGAATGATGTTGTATTGAATGTAAAAGCGGTTAATTTTGTTAATGGACTTTTGTTATCATTGAGTTGATCATTTTGCTGTGTGGAGTATTGTGGCGGACAATGTTGTTGTTGGGGACGATGATTAAGACTTCGATGTATAGTATGGTTAGGATCACAGAGTGTGAGATGATTATTATACCTAAGTTGATGCTGTTGTTCTTGATTTTGTTGTTGCGGATTTTGATGATGATGATGGTGGTGATGATGATGGTGACAATGATGCCGGTTATCTATATCAACTGACTGAATAGTCAACATAACTCCCTTTTTTTCTAACGTTTATTGATATTATTATTATTGCTATTGTTACTTATACTGCCTGTCCAAGAATTGGTTAGCTAAGAAGTCAAGTGAATAGTATAACGATATAATGGATAAAAGGTTTCATATGTAAGTTTGTCGGAACTTTATAGATATAGATCACAGGTTTTTCTCCTTCTTGTTCTTCGTGTTATTCTCTTGTCTGCCTTTCTCACATTTACCATCCTGTGCCCTTTTTCCAATGTACATACAATAAATAAATTATTTGGGAAGGAAAATTAGAAACGAATTGCCTTTTGATTGGCTGGCTAACTTTAGTTAACCAATGAAATTTCACAGCGTTTAATAAGGATGTGAAATATAATCTAGTTTTACTCATATTTTCTTATTTAGATTAATATAATTCTTATTTATTAGTTACAGGTTTTCATCATGAGATGACATCGGTTAGAGAGCCATTGGAAAACCAACACTGGAGTACTGGACAGCTGTTTCGCTCTAGTTTGGGACTCCTCATCAGTACGCACCCACACCAAAGGGGTTGAAACCAAGAACCCAGGAGCTAGCGAGCTCGTAGACCACTAAGCCACTGGGACCCAATCCAATGGCCAGCCCATGAATTCCACCTTCTGCCAATTAGGCAAAATGAATTGTTTTTAGATTGTATTTTCTTACATTTTAAAAAGAAGCATATTGTGCTTTCAATTTAAGTAACTTAAAAATTCCCTATAAAGTTATATAAAAGAAGAGGCGTTCAGAGAAGAGTTGCAGACTTCAGTTTTTGGAGGTTATCTGTTAATTTTTGTTCGGTTTGCTATTTTCTGAACGCTTTTGCTTTCAGCTTGTTGAATGAAGGATAAGTAATACATTTTCTCGCATTTCTAATATTTTAATGTAATAAACTCACTTATCATGAAAGATCTTTTGTATTTCCCTACGAATATCATATACATTGCCTATATGTTTTCTTCAAATCATTACATCTGAACTCGGAATCGGATGTCGATAATTTAATTAAAAATTCGAAAATCTCCTACTTACAGATAACTATCTTCCATCTTCTATGATACTCTTACTCACAAAGAAATAGTGATATGTGATTATCATGAGTTTCACGGAAGTATTTCAGTATATTATAGGTCCATTTACATACAGTCTGTGTTAAGTTCTCAAAAGGCTACCTTATCTAAATGAATAGATGATGATGCTAATTCATTTCAAGCTATTTTCAGAGAGAACTAAGTTTAAAAAGCTCTGACATCGTTTTTGATAGGCGACATTCAATTAACACCAGCAAGAGATTAGCTGAGGAGAAAATACAGACTCGCATCCGTGTGTGTCATAGCTTTCCTGATGAAATATCCATGCATGAGACGTTATTACATCCAAACTACCTAGTCTGTAGGGTTGAAAAATTTCAGAACATATTAAAATAGAAACTTCTTGTTGGGATTTTTAAATAGACTTATTTCCTCGCTGCCTATTTTTATTCTTTATGAAGGATTGGTGATGCTTAAATTTATGAAAATAATATATCTGACTTGTAGCTGAAAACAATACTTATTATACGAATCATTACTCCAGCTGACGTTTACTTTTCTCTTCATTAGTTTAGGGAAAATTATCACTGAAAAAGAATGAATACTTTTGAAGAACTTTCCAAATTTAGGAAATGGATTTGCATATAAATGCATTTCCTATGAGGTGGCCGTAAAGCATGATAAATCCTCATTCACTTTTTGAAAGAAACACATTCGATCAAACAGAAAATCATATACAACTCTGGTATCGAATGCGGATTTAAGCAAATTCTACTGATGAATATTATGAAGTACAAGTTTCAAGTTCTTCTCAGGTCAACCAGAAATTAGTTTCACTTCCAGGTGGGACTCAATATTCCAACACTTTTTATCGAATCTTTAGGTGAAAATTCTGCTTTTGCTAACTCTTTCTTAGTGAAGAACTTTCAAGACGGTGAGGTCACTCCAGACTGGAAATTTCCCGGTCGGTCCAAATTTACGTTAATTATACCGACTAGTAGTTGGGACTAAATATTGATTTGACTTAAAAGATATTTTTTAAGCTATACAGAACCAATTCTGATTGATTATGTATAAGTTATCTTTGTAGAGTACAATTTAAGTATTAAGGACACTTATGAATAACTATCAGGTTAGAATTCACATTCTTTCCGAATATACAGATAGTGAAATATTAATTTATGCTTCACGTATTAGTTTTATTCGTGTGATGACTGGATTCATGCTTTCTAAGAAATGATTCTGGACTAAATAGACTATTTCCGCAAATAGTAATTTTTGGGTAAGTTTCGAATTCCTTAGCATTAATGCCATCCGTTCAGAATATTTTATTTTCCATCTTTGGGTTTCAAATTGTAATGATAGTTTACTGTCATACTATTTATTTTGGTAGGTTATAATAATTTAACTTTAAAACACCCAATAGAGGAGATAGAAATATGGTCTCTAGAAGATTGTCAGATAGCTGATTCACAAGATCACCTGAAACTTTTGTTTTACTAGTTTCCTGAATCATCCTTACACAATTATAAACAAATAACAAGATTCATCACTCACTGCGTATGACATATTTAAATGAACTACTTTATGTGTGCACTAGAATATCTGAGATAGCCTGGCCAAGGCAGGATAATCCTAATATCATATAACGGCTGAAGTTAATTTAAATTCTGTCATGGCGAAAGAAACATTATATTTAAACGTTAATTAATAATAGTTATAATGATTACATATTCAATAATACAATACATTGAAACATTGATCAATTCATAACTTTGACTTACCTGTAAATCATTCTACTTACTTTCTTTATATGTTTTAAAAATCATTCACGTTGCTTATTATTTTAAGCAATAAACTTAAATCAACAACAAAAAAAAGAAATTCTCACAAAATAATAAAAGTGATGAACAGGCAGAATTAGGAGAAACAAGAATTCAAGTGAAATTGTTGAAATAAAATCGAATTCTGTGTATTAAATCCTAAAGTAAAGTAATGGTGTAGTCCAGTTGATTTAGGTCTACATTTTATGTGTTGCACATTTCTGTACCTTATCTAATAATAATTTTTCAATGACTGCTATTCACTGATACTTTTTAACCAATAAGATGACATTTTTTTCATTCTATTGCTCAGATGTCAGAATAGATAATGACCACAAAAAGAAAAGTGTATGCATATGTGTTGTATTTAATTACCAATTAGTGTTTGAATAATTGCTTACTAATTTTTCTTTCATTATCCCAAACTTAATGACTTTCTGTACATTCTAGATACCACCATATCATGTGTGAGTGCGCTTTTCTAGTTCATTTATTTATAATAATGAGACTATGTCAATTAGTCACCATACCTCGATAGGTGAAAATCAGTCTATGTTTATGCTTTTTCGTCTTACAGGATTATGAGAGGAAATAATAATAATGATGATTGTGTTTATCTATTGTAATAAAGTGAATTATTTATATAACATCCTAATAAAGTCTGAAATGCACAGGTTGAGTTCAATTTACAACCAAAAGTTTATATCCTGTAAAAATGCGTCTAATATATAGAAACTTTTCAGTTTGCACACTAAACAAGTCCTTCATTCAATTCTCCAACAAATGCCAAACTTTCTAGTGTTACAAGTGTTAATGAAACCTGCTTCCCTGGTTTTAATACAAATGATATTCTAAAATGTCTCCAGTCTCTGAACCCTTCTTATAGCCTGGGTCCAGACGGTTTGCCTAGTTTTATTTTTAAAAAGTGTGCAGATATCCTGTGTTATCCTCTCATGGACATATTTAACGAATATTTTTCCAAAAATGTCGTGCCATCCGTTTGGAAGGACATTAAAATTGTACCTATTCCTAAGTCGTCTACTGCAACATTTTTTAAATTTAGACCCATTGCTATTACTTCCCCTTTTCTAAAAGTTATGGAAAAGTTACTCTTAATTAATCTTCAACCTTCACTTAAAGCCTTTAACGATCCTAAACAATTCGCCTATAAACACAGTAGAAGTACTTTAGATGCAGTTGCAGTTCTGTATAACAACATTGTCTTCAGCTTAGACAAGGGGGCTAAATTTGTTCGCTGCACCATTCTAGATTATACATCTGCTTTCGACTCAGTACCTAGGGACATTTTGTTAAACAAGCTTAATGAAACTCAAGCTGACTGCTGGGTTGTCAAATGGCTCCATTCTTATTTCTCAGGAAGAAAGTAGTACGCCGTATGTCAGGAAAAGTCATCCATTTCATTGCTTACTGTGGCTGGTGTCCCTCAAGGCGCTTTCCATTCCCCTTTTCTGTTTTCTTTCTTCTCGCATGACTTGCCTCACTCTGATGAAATGAACTTTGTAAAGTATGCCGATGATCTAACTATTTCAACGTCTGTTAACTCCCAGCTTGACTATACGAAGATGAATAGCTTTCTATCAGGAGTTAGCAAATGGTCTTCGTCTAATGGCCTTAAACTAAATCCTTCCAAATGTCAGACTGTCAATTTCAATTATTCGATGTAAACGAAAGTTAAATGAAGCCGTTGGTTCCTGTGACCCTTGCAAAATTGATGATCCTGATATAGAAATCAAGTCTGAAGTTAGGTATCTTGGACTAATTATTTCTTCTAACCTATCCTGGACTTCCCATGTCTTAGCGATTTCTCAAAGAATATTTCGTCTGACATTTTACATTAGGAACTCAAATCCCTTTATTTTCACTTAATAGCAATTTTAACCTTATCAAATTTCTATCTTTGTGCCGTTGAGTACTACGTAATTTACAACTTTTAATTTTCACTTCTAAAACCACTTCTGAGTAATTATATCATTTATGTCACCCCCTATTACTCAATAATAGACCACTATATATTTTTCTAAGTATAAATACTATTGTACAGCCTCTGAAGATGATTTCGTCGATAAAGAAAATTTTCTTCGCTGAATCTGTCTTTTATTTTCTTCATAACTTAATGGGTATTTTCGGTGATTTACATTAGGAAGTTAAGGCAGTCAGGCATAACTCAACCAATCCCTCCTCCTACAGTTTGTCAACTCGTGCATCTTACCTATTCTTCTTTACTGTTCATCCTCATTACTTCCTCGATTGCTTAAAAAGGACTATGTCATACTTCGTAGAACTGTAAAGATTGCCAGTAGGGCGAGTGATATCCCACTGAGCCATATCGTT